GAAATTTCCCAGCAGGAGCCCTGTCTGGAGTCACTCAGGGAAGGCTCACATTTGAACCCAAACCTTTAGGAGGCTGACCACAGTCCACAGAGGGCAGCTGTATTTTGGGCAGCAGACAAAACAGGTCATGGTCCTGGGGGATAGGAGGAGATATGTGCTCTATAGAAGATCTGTCAAGACCAATTTTGGGAGATGGAGAGAGGTTTGAATGGAAATCATCTTCTGACTTAACTAAATTCTCCAAGTACTTGGGCTATTAGCCCAAGGTGTTTCCAGCTTGGGCTTGCCTGTGGAGATACAGGGAAGGGTCCACCAGTCCCTTGCCCTTGCTGAGGGAGGCTGGAGATGAATTAAGGAAGGAGAGGGTGGTACCCACTGGGACATCTTGGAGGGAGCTGCTTCTCAGTGGATGGGAGTTTTCCTCCTGTGGCTGGGATGATGTGCATTTTAAAAGCATCTTTATCTTCAGTACTTGGCATGGAATAATTTCTCAACCAGTGCCTGGGCATGAGTAGATGAAGAAACTTGTGATCCAGCAGGCATCTGCCCTTGGGAGAGCACTAGGCATGGATGGGGGTTGAGCAAAGACAATAAGGTTGAGGAGAAGTCACAAGTTCTGGGTTGGGTGAGGAGGTAGATGTGGCAGGGCAGGGGATGAGCCATGAGTTCTATGCTGAGAGTTTGAATACCACCCAGGATGCTGGGAGCCAGGGTGGTAGGTGTGTATAGGCATGGCCAGAGTGGTTGCACTGGGGCCCACGCATAATAGACACAGATGCTCACTCACAGGGTGTGCAGTTACAATCTGGTCCATGTGGTTTCCTGACCAGCTTGATGATCCAGAGCCACGTCTATGCATCTGGGAACCACATTTTCTTATGAGTAACGGGCCCAGCCATGACAGTACCACTATTGTAGACACAGGCAGTATAGACTCTAGAAGGGGCCTGAGGTTAGGTGGGTCTAGTCAGGATCCAGGATGACAAGTTCTCAACTGAGTCACACATTCTTGAAATACTCAGTCTGAGGTGGGATTTGGTGGGGGACATCTGGTATGGGCCAAGTGGTCCCTGAGGTAGAGACACAGAAAGAGGTGGCTAGCAGGACTAGGGAGGACATCTGGGGCTGGACTTTCTGGTGTCAGAAATCAGAAGAGGGCATAGGGACTAGGGGTATAGGATGCCCAGCCACTGCATTGGTGGGGACAAAGAAGAGTAGTCAAAATCCTTTTTTTTTTCTTATCTGCCTTTAGTCAAGCAGCAGGGCATGAACTAAGGCACAGATGGTAGTCAGACAGCTGGAGTGTGAATCTGGGCTACATAGTTGTATAACTATGGGAAATTTACTCATTCTTTCTGTGCTTTAATCTTCCTTATCTTTAAAATGTAGCCTATAGGTCTGAAGATATCTCAGTGGGTAAAATGTTTTCCCTAACAGCTCAAGAATGTGAGTTCAATCCCAGAACCTATGTAAAAATGTCAGTCATGGTGGTCCGCTTGTAATCCCAACAATGGGGAGGCAGAGTCAGGAGGATTCTTAGTTTTGCTGGCTAGCCGGTCTAGCCTAATTGGCAAGCTCCAGGCCAATGAGAGACCCTGCCTCAATAGCGTTCTTGAGGATGACACTCAATGTTGTTCTCTGACTTCTACATACATGGAACCATGCACATCCTCACTTGTGTACCTGCACACACAAACACGCACACATGCACACGCACAATGTTTTAAATGTATAGCTAGTAATACATCCTACCTTATGTCATGGTTGGAAAAAGAAAACACAGAGTATATAGTAAGTGCTCACTAAATGTTGAAACTTCCCAGGTCTAGATATGCAGTTCAGCTCTTAGGAGCCAGTCTTGACCCTTGCCTCCATGGGACAGGATTCAGTCAGGATCTAATTCCAGGCTTGCATACCAGACAGCAAATTAGAATCATGAGGGAACAATAAGAATTATATGGCAGCCACGCTTGGTGAGGTAGCACTTGAGAGGTGGAGTCAGAAGGATCAAGAGTTCAAGGTCATCTTCAGCTACATAGTGTGTTTGAGGCCAGCCTGGACTACATGAGACCCTGTCTCAAGAAACTCAACCCAAGACAAAAAATGTGTGTGGGACTGATTCCCTGCAGGCATCAGCAGTTTAAATGCTCCCTGGTGCTTCCATCCTGAGCCAGGATGAGGAACAGCACGGGGTCATGGACTGTAGAGTTAGGGGGAGGACTGGGATTTGCTGGTGGGAGAATGTGACTTAGTCTTGGAATGACATCACTTCTCAACCATGAGAGCTTGGCAAAGCCCTTCCCTTTGCAACTTGGCAGAACATTGGCTGCCTCCACTGGGAGGGGGCTCCCTGGGAAATTTCAAGGACTTCCTGAATAGATGCACCTCCACAGGCATTTCCCACTCATGTGCACATATCCTACCATACACATAATTAAAGATAATAAAAATAAATCTTTAAAGAAAAAGAAAACCTCACTGAATGTGATGGTACATGCCTTTAATCCCAGCATGGATTTCTGAGTTCATGGCTAACCTGGTCTACGTAGCAAGTTCCAGGCCACCCAGGGATTAAAGAAAGAAATAACTTCTCAAAAGGCAAGTGCTATGGGAGCCCTATAGAGATGGGGGATGTGCCAGGCTGAGGTTGACTCTTGACAGTAGGGCTGAGATAGACCCCCTTGAAGAACAGGTAGCTCTGGCCAGTGAACATGCAGATACCTGAGTGTTCCACCCAGGCTAGCCAAAGCCCAGGACTGAGCCAGTGACATGTGCCCAGGACTTACCAAGAGATTTGTATATTGGGCAATAGCCCTTACATTGTCATCTCCTTTTACACAGGAGGAAACAGGCCAGAAAAGACAAGGGAAGCCCTTTGGGGATCTTTATACATCTTAGCCAGTGTCGTGTTTTCTACAGTGTTAAGAAGTAGGACAAGGGGCTGGAGAGGTGGCTCAGGGGTTAAGAGAATCTAATGTTCTTCCAGAGGACCCGAATTCAGTTCTCAGCATCTCTTCTGACCTTCATGGCACTACACACATACCAGCACACATACCGGCCAGGCTGGGCGTGGTGGCACACGCCTTTAATCCCAGCACTCGGGAGGCAGAGGCAGGTGGATTTCTGAGTTCAAGGATGGCCTGGTCTACATAGTGAGTTCCAGGACAGCTGGGGCTACAGGGAGACCCTGTCTCAAAAAAGACAATAAATAAATAAGTAAATAAATAAATAAAAGTGGAAAAACTGCCATATTTTGAAGAAACAATAAAAATACATTGACTTGGCCCAGATCACATCCTCAAATCCCCAGACCTGACTCCCACAAAGGATACAAAAGGGCCACCTAGCACACTGAGGTAGTATTCAGGGAAGGCCTCCTGGAGCAAAAGACTGCTAAGTATCTCTTGAATGATTAACAAGTTAAAAGACCACAGAGAGGCATTGTGGGTATGTGGTACTGGCACAGGCTGGGCTTGGAGGTGAGAAGGGATCAGGTTTGTGAGAGCTGGCTGGCAAGTTAGGATTGAGTTCTGGAGGGTCTGGCACGTCAGGAGGGGATTTGGACTTCTTGTGTGAATGCTAGAGAGCCAGTTGAAGGTGTTTGAGTCTCAGAAAGAAGGAGCGGAGAATCTTAGCATAGAAGCTCACCCCTTGAGTTACTGGGATAGCCAGGACTCTGCCAAATCTGTGCCAGGTGCCTGGACTGTGTCCAGCACTGGGCTCAAGTGACTCAACATTGAAGAAGTTGCTCCCCAGGGGATAGGGCCCAGATGAATCACCCCAGTGAGGTGGGGAGGCTGGGGGCTCACTGAGTCACCCTCCCAAAGGCTGAGGAGGGGGAAGTATTGAGAGGGGGAATGGTGTAGAGGGGAGCATTCGGGGAAGGCCACGGTGAGGGCTGTCAGGAGGCTCTGTCTGCCTCTCCACCATTTCAAGTTTGAGCTTCTTGAAAGTCTATGGAAAAACTAAGGCCCAGCAAGATGAAGAGGGGATCTGGCCAAGGTCATGTACCAAGTGGCTGGTAAAAGCCAGGAAGAGCCAAGTTCACCCTTCAGAAGTTCAGACACATCCACGCCTCAGCCACTCTCATGGCACGTGAAGGCTAGAAACCAAGTTGGTCTAGGCAGCGAGTTTGACCCAGGTTACATCCCACCAATCTCTCCCTTCAGCCCTCCAGCCCACTGCAGCTGGGATCGGGATGCACCGCCAAGATAGGACACCAGGGGGCGCAGGAGCGTCACGGCTGCTGCAAGCGCCGGAGCGCAGAGGCCGCTCTGCGGAGAAAAGTGCTCTCGGTGCGCGGTGTCCAACCGCGGAACTGTGGACTACGTGGCTCTGGGGCTTGCATCCCTCCGGCCTCCCGGAACGCCGATGCAGGCATGCATGGCAATCTTAGGGACCCAATGCCCCTACCCCACACTTGGGGATGGTGCTCCTGCGTGTGTCTGGGCGCACGTGTCTCCCTCGCAGATCTGCTTCTGCTCCTGGCTCGTCCGTTTCGGAGCGGCCTCTAAAATTCTCGCTCACTTCTCCCTACCTTCTGCATCGGAGGGAGAGGAGCGCGCTCAGGGCTCCTGGACGGTGACCGTGGCCTTTTCCCACGCTCCACTTCTTTGCCATCTATCCCTGCACTGCGCTGGTCTGGGCCTCGGGGCTCTTGCCGGGCCACTGGAGTCCAAGTGATGGGGAGAGGATGCGGTGAGACAGGCCACCGGACTCTGGGAAGAGACCTCTGCATAGTGCAGGCGTGGCGATGGGACAAGCGGAGGGCAGCAAGGGCTGAGAGGCGACCTAGGGGAGGGGACCCCATAGCTGACCCTCTGAAAGAGCCTTGGGAGGGGAGGGGCGAGCCGGCGGGGACCTCTGGCGGGGTCTGAAGATGGGACAGCGGAGAGGTGCTGTCCCTGGTGGCGGGGGAGATGGGTGGGGCTTGGCGCCCAGGGGCGGGGGGAGGGCGGGGTGTTGCACCACATCCTCATCGCTGTTGTCCAATTCCTCAGGCGGGGCCAGCAGGTCTTCCTCAAGCCGGACGAGCCGCCACCACCGCAGCCATGCGCCGACAGCCTGCAGGTAGGGCTCCCCAGCCCCCCCTGGGTAACAGGGAGAACCCGGTGTCCAGGGAGAGCCTGGCTACGGCCGGGTCCTTTGCGGGACGTACAGTCGCCCGCCCCACGGTCCACCTTTACCTGAACCCCCAGTAACATCATCTATAAAACCCTTCCCTTAGTTCTAAACCCGGCTCTTGTACTGGGTCTACATAGCCAAAGGGAGTCCTTGAATCACCAGCTCAAATGCCACCCTAGATTCTGAATCCTCTCTGCATCCGGAACTCCACCCCAAGCCCTGAACTCAATCCACTGTTGGACCCCTGTCCACACTGACAGCTCTGTACACACCTGGAATCCTCTCCTCCCAGGTTAATGGAGACCTTCTTCCCAAACCTCTGGCCCTTCACCATCGTTTCAGACTCCAGGCACACCTGCACCACCTGAACCTTTAGCATCCAGGAGATCTACCTTAGAGTTTAGGACCTACCCCAAGACCCTAGGCTACTCTGTTTCACAGCTCCAGCACTCCCGCCATCCAGATTGTAGTCCCCCAGCTTTTCCCCTACCCAAGGGTCCAAACCCCTTTGCCCATCTCAGCTTCTTTCTCAGCGGGACTGCCCCCTACCAGATTCCCTTCCTCCCTCTGTCATAGGAGGCCTCCAGTTTCCTTCTGCTGCCCGCCCCCTTCTCTCCCGATGTGCCAGTCCCACTTTATTCCAGGTTCTTGCCAACTCTTGGGCTCACTGTCCCACTGTTCCTCTGCTGCTCTCTGACTTGGTGTCTTGCTCTAGGTTGCCCACCTCACTTGGTCTAGTCACCCTTCCATCTCTCTGGGTCTATTTTTGTTCTAAGGTATTTCTGTGACCATACCGTCTCCATTTGTGTGCCTCTACTTTGGGCTGAGGAGGGGACAGGATCAAAGGACAAGGCTGGAGTGCCTAGGACCTCCAGGCTTGCCTGTGTTCTCTGGTGTGGCATGGGGTGGACCCAAATCCAAGGGCTTAAACATGGAGGATGTTGTGCTCATGGGTGCTCCAGGTCTGAGGTGGGTAGAGATCACAAGATGGGATACTGGCATTTGTTATTTATAACCCCCTTATCCCTGATGTCCTGGTGGTGACTGAGGCAGCTGGGTTTTGAAATGGGGGAGAGAGGTAAACTGGAGTCTTTCACCTGTGGAGGGAGCTATCCAGGGTTGAGTGAGTTGGGGGTGTATGTGCTTGTGTGAGTGTTTCTGAGTGTGTGCAGCACGCACTAGGTGGCATGCTTTGGATGTATCTTATGTGTAATCGTGTATTGACTGGAGTCTTTCACCTGTGGAGGGAGCTATCCAGGGTTGGGTGAGTTGGGGGTGTATGTGCTTGTGTGAGTGTTTCTGAGTGTGTGTAGCACGCACTAGGTGGCATGCTTTGGATGTATCTTATGTGTAATCGTGTATTGTGTCATGTATGACCACATCATATGAGTGAGATTATCCATAGGGGGATTATGCTGAGTGTGTGGCTAGTGAGTCTGTGGTGTTACGTGTTGTATATAGCTGGAGAGGCAGGATTGCCAGTGTGGACTTGAAACACAGAGTGTGATTCTTGTGTGTGCGCATGGTTGTGTATCTATCATGGCGGTGTGATATTGTTAGAGGGGCAGCTTGCATGTTAAAGATTGAGTATGTGACTGTGGATGCAATTTGGCTGCTGTCTGTAGCCAGGAAGGATCCTAGTATGTTCCTGCTGGTTTTGAATGGATGTTTTGTGAGAGAGAAGTGGAGCAGGATTGTGTGTGTCTAAGTGTGTTTGTAGCCTAGTTGGTGGCTTAGAATCACTGTGGTACATCCTGGGTTTGCTTGGAAACCATATTCATATCTGTGTGTTGGTGTTTGAGTGTGATGTGTCTGTGGCAATTATTATACACCTCTGGACAGGAAAGGGTGCAGACAGGGCTGAAGGGTCCAGTTAACTGAGGAACTGGCTGACCAGGCTGCAGTGTGGGTAGGAGGAGGCAGTTTGTAGGCAGGGTTGTCTGTGCCAAGGGGCTTTATGTGCCCACAAGTTTGTGATGTTTTGGTGTGATATCAGGTGTGCATATTGTCTATGCAGGGTATCTGCATGTGTCTTTATGTATGATGGGTTTGTGTGTGTGTATGCATGTGTGTAATTTCATTGGATGCATGTGTCTGTGACTAGGGAGGTGAGTGTGAGGTGTGTGAGGTACATGGTAGGAGAGGGTATGAGTGTGGTGTGAAGTGTGGGTGTGTGAGCTATGTGATTTTTTAGTGTGAGGTGTGGATTCTGTGATCTTTCCTCCCTGTGAGCTGTGTGTGTGTGTGTGTGTGTGTGTGTGTGTGTGTGTGTGTGTGTGTGTGATAATAGATGTCCCATTTAGGGCTGAGGACACGACAGTCCCTTAGTCTTAGCTCTTTGATGCATTATTAGTCTCTGCATTAACTGCTGTCCATTGTACAAAGAAGCTTCTTTGACCAAGGTTGAAGGCCACACTAATCTATGGGTATAAACATAAATATTCAGAAGGCAATTTGACAACATGAGCTTTTAGCAAAACAACAGGAGTAGCTTCCCCCTAAGGGCCTACCACCTCCTTGGTCATGAGCTTTTGACTAGGTTTACAGTATAAGGCATGAATCAGTCTTGTGGAGCAGGCCTCAAATCTAAGCAGAAAGCAGTTAGTTACCTACCAAACAATCATGGCACTATTGCCCTCATGGGCAGGTCAGTATTGCAGCATTCAGGGTTCAGCACTGAGTGAGATCATTGACATCTTTTCTCTGCCAGTGTCTACATAGCACCTTTTGGCACCGTGAAATCTAGCCATCAGGGAGGATGCTTCCAAGTCAGTTACAGATTGATTTCTCTATGTCCTTCAACTAAAATGTGTTGCATCTTCAGCAATAGGGTCTTACCATCTAGTCCTGGTGGGCAAACAAGCACATTGGCAATGGCTTTCCAGCCTATTGTTTGAGATAAGGTCTCTTTGAGGAGAGTGTGAGGCATATACAGGGAGTTTGGATGAGTTAGGCATGTCTACACGGGGGCTGAGGTCTGGGTAACAGAGTGTGTGCATAAGGTGTATGATGTGAGGAAAGAGGTATATTATGTTTGGCTGTGTGAGAATGCAGCAGGTGCCCCATAAATGTTTGTGAAGTGACGTATGTACTCAGGGAGGACTTGGCTGCCTTCCTGTTCTTGCTTTCCTCCTAATCAGGTCCCTAGAGATGCCCTCACTTGCGCCCCCCAACCCAGGCTGCTCCTACCCTTTGCCCTTCATCCTTTTCACTTTAACCAAGGCCTTTGTTTTGAGTTTCCTGCTGAGCAGGCGCTGGACAGGCGGGCGGCGGGTGATGTTGTGGTCCAGGAACCTTTGTTCTTTTCCTCTTAGGTTGTCCCATGTTTGGGGCCAGGGTTCGGAGGGGGTGGGGAGAGGATACACGTGTGAGCAAGGCCACTGTGTTTACTACCACTTCAGGAGAGGAGAGGGTCAGACACTGGCCAAGAGGCCAGTGGTGTCTCTGGAGGCACCTCTCTGGGCTGGGCTTGGAGTTGGCCAAGTCTGCCAGCCATACATTCTTAGGACTGGGATGGCTCAGTGTTCATTCTGGAATGTACCACCTCAGGGTTGCTGAGTAGCCAAGTACCCTCATGCTCTCCTCTCCTCTTTCTTCCTTAGCATCACCAAACTGGGAGCTGACCAGAAACCCTCCATTTGTTGACCCACATCAAATGCAGAAATAGACCCTGTCCTCATAGAGACCCTTATCAGAAAAGGAAGATCTGGTCATACCTCTGGGAACCAGGTAGTCTGATGGTGGAGTTCTCAGGCAATAGAGGACCCAGGCCATATTCTCCAGAGAGAAAATTCTGGGAAAGCCCTTCTTGGCAGCATCCAGGCAGGCATTGGAAAGCATCAGTGTTCAGGACTCCTAAGGTTGGAGGGCCAGAGACAGTTCAGGCATCCAGAAAGGGGCTAGGGATCATGCCTCAGCATCATCTTCCAGAAGGTTCTTCAAAGTGAGTGGGCTTGAGCTTAGCCTTAAGATGATGTGAGATGGGCAGAGAATTGAGGTGGAATGAGATTCTGGCCCAACTGCCAAAGCACCACTGTGTGGCTTTGGGTGGCCAGCCCTTCTCAGGCTTCAGATCACCTTTCTCCAGCCAAATCTTTGACCAGAGTCACTGACATGGCTGTTGCCATCACCATCATCATTATTAAGGTAGTTCCTTCCAATTCTTGAGATCATTTAACAGGTCACAGTGATGATGGAGTCCCATGTAGACATGCCTTACTCATCCTAGCTCATATACATACAGGTGAGGACGAAGCAAACCTGAGTGGAATCCAGGTCACTCTTTAGCTTCACAACTGGTGAAGACCTAGGAGGTCTTCCTAAGGCCTTTCCAATCCATGGAAGGATAGGCCCAGACTTCTGTCCCCACATACAGTCCTTCATCTTGAACTCTCTGAGGATAGAGGGCCCACCCAGACACCCCTGTAGCTGAAGTCTCCCTCCACCATTCAGTTCTCTCCCTTCCTGCCTCCACTCTTCCCCTGCATAGCCTCATCACCCCTGGCCTAGACTACACCAACCTAGGCCTCAGTATCCATGGCCCAGAGAGCTCCATCGCACCCAGGCCTAACATCTCATCCCTCCTTTCAACTCCTCCCTTCACACTGGTTCCCTGGAAAGCATTCAACGTTTTCAACATGGTTTGTAAGCCCTGCAAATTTTGGTTCCTGCCAGCCTCACCAACCACATCTTGTCTCTTGATATCCCTCCCCCATCTCCCATCCTACCAACTTGGCCACCTTGGCAGTCCAGAATCCAGCACCATGAATAGAGTCATAGGACTTGTGAGCACCCTCTTCCTCCCTCTGTCTGCCACCAACATGCAGTCACAGCTACCATCCCCCTTTCTGTCCAGAATGTTCTCCAGGCTCATCCCTCAACTTTCAGATTTGTTTCCCCCTGGAGACTCTCCAACTTGCCCTTCTTCCTACTCTGGGCTGAATGAG